TATAGGGCCCGGAAAATCCTTCTTTTGCCTTGCTTCTTTATAATTTTGAAAGTATTTTCTTTGGTGCAACGGCTGAGATTTCCCATCTGGCTCGGAAAGCACACTCTTACGCCAACATACTCACTAGGAAAAGGGCATTTTTTTTTTTTTTTGTCCGCTTTGCATTTTATATTTAATGCATTCATTTGTTTATCTGTTTCTCTTTCGGCTCACTTGAGGGTGCTTGAAACTGTCGATAACACATTCTTTTTTATTATTAATGGTTCGTGCAAGAGAGGACAGAATATAGACGGAACTATCACAAAACTGTTGTGAATTGCTGGCAGCCATTTTAAAGCTTGGCAGCCATTTTAGAGCTGGCTGCCGGTCTCCGAGAGAAGCACGGAGAGGCAAGATTAGGAATGTACGGCTAAAAAGAAATCAAATATATTTACATAAAGCCGGGTTAACTGGTAGAACAAACATACTAGTATAGGCTTGTAATAATGTTTCAGCTTTTACTCTTTTGAGCTGTAATAAGGACATTTATACACAAGGTTAAAGAGAGCACATGGAAACCACAGCTAATCATCTGGATCTATGCTGATAGAGTTGGATATGACACCAGATTGTGAGTTGGTGTGGACCTCACAGGACAAACTAGGTTTCCAACTGTCCAAAATTTAGGACAATCGAGCCATTATATATGTTTTCCTCAGTGTGGAACCGTCTTCAGGAAGACAAGACCCATCAAACATTTTTTGTAGAAAGGAACTTTGGTGACCCTGCAACAAACACCCATAGATTGGGTAGAGGATGTATTAAGAGAGCACAAACACAGAAGAACCTTAAATTAGAAGGTATCTACATGACTTCATCACAAATCCCAAAAATAATGGGTTTATTCCTCGCTTTAGAATAGTGGGCAGAGCCATGGAAATTGTTCTTTTAGGTCCCCGGCCCATCTGTCCATCCAGAATTGTGGGTTTATAGCGCAGATACAGCCTACTATTTTGGAGCCCTTTATTCCAAACTGCATACAGCTATTTCAGGATTGTTGACCATCCTCAGTGAGGTGTATGGAAACCATGTCTCCTATGTCTGCAAGAAATAATTCAAAGCAACTGGACTTGCTGTATTTTTGCTTAAAGACATTTTGCTGGTCATCCAACTAGCTGTCTCAATTCACAGTTCTTTTGAAAGCGAAACGTCTTCAAGAAAAAATACAAGAAGTCCAGTTGCTTTGATTTATCTCTTACAGGTACTCTTGCATAAGAAACAGCAGAAAAGGTCGGACAATGCCTAAAACTGCCAGACTGGTGCAAGAGTGAGTCAGGTTCAGAGCACATGCCTGGAGGACTACAAGCACCAGCACAGCCCTGCATGCCTGCAGAACCAGGGGTAAGAGGTACGTATATATTTGTAGAACTGTGACAATTCCCTTTATGCCTCCTGATCAACTTGCTGACCTTATTGGACATCCTTGTCTGTGTCTAAGGGCCTATGTCAACTGACATTTGTTTGTGTCAGAACTGCTTCTTTCCCCATGCAAGTCTATGGGAATGCAAATGCAGCTTGAAGCAGGTCAAATGAAGGTCAGAAAGAGGTCAACTTTAGGTCAAGTGGACCTGTCAATGGATTCTGAATGATCTTAGAAGCTGATGCAAGCTGCATTGGAAGCACAAAACCATTGGATACTGGTACTAAGGGAGGTCCGGGTCATCTGGATGGAGATGACATCTACAAAATGTTATGGTTGTGAATGTAAAACTGGCAGAAAAAAAAGTGCTGCTTGCAAACCATGTGGCCAATTCCAATGAAAGATTGCTCCCTTAACAGTGACGAATGATTATTCCCAAAAATTGTTCAATACCACTGAACAATACCGCTACAGGTAATGTGCATACATATTGTATTCACTCATTCAAAGATATGAAAATGGGGAAATAAACAGGTGAAAAGATCGATTGTCTAATGAAATATGATCCAAAATTCCACTGATTTTTCCAATGACGGTTTTCTAGGTCTTGTTCTTACAAACCATTATTCTGGACAAATATTGGACACCGATTTATGCTTTTTTTGCTCACATTGTACTCTAATTCAGCTCCACAGCAGCCTTTCTGGTTATTTGTGACTTGGTATAGTCTAATGCGTTTATCTCGTCAGTGTCACTTTTTAGTGCATCACACATTCAGGCATTCCTGGCAGCTCTGGGCACAATATTCCCGTCTCTCTCGCCCCCTCTGTCCCTGTGCCAGCCTCATCCTGCACCCCCTCCTTTCTCTGGAGCCCCCAAGGACTACCGAGCTCCTAGGTCTCTTCCACCATCTTATCAGTGGCTCCAGCTGATAAATCACAGCCGTGAGGTGCCCCTCACACACTGTGTGGATTATCTACACCCCCCCCAATACTGCGGTCCCCTGAGCTGGCAAACACACCGTGATAGGGGGCAGGAAACAAGGTGGCAAAGATGCCATCATGACATGTGCAAACATCCAGATCCGACAGGCTTGTATATTTCAGGGATTCGCCGCATACATATTTCAGGACTCATACAATACACGGTCGTCTAACAATGAACTCTGATGAGTTGGAAGGCTAATTTGCATATTAAAGTGACGCAGGAAGGATAAAATGGCTCTCTTTGTTTAACACACCGGAATCACAGGATAATAAAGATTCTGATTTGAGCATTTAATTAGAGTCCTTATGTTCAATGGAATCTTTGATTCTCAGCATCCTCTTTGAATTTACATGGAAAACGATGAGGGTCTGTTTATAAAAGCTGGACAAATCCAGCGACATTCCTTATGGCGGAAAAAAGTTTTCTGAAAGTTTTAGCAGCTAGAGTCAAGGGTGACATAAGGTACTCTATATGTATAGTGGTTTTGTACATATATTATTTTCTTAATTATTATGGAAATTTACATACAAACGTTATTTGACTCCTCCCTCTCCATCTGGACTTCTCCCGCCAACGATTGCTGTGTTCTCTATTTGAAAAAGCCTGTAATGTTCAGGAAATACTTTGCATTACATGTTATCTAAAAAAGGACTATATATATAGTGCTTTTTTAGATAACATGTAATGCAAAGTATTTCCTGAACACTACAGGCTTTTTCAAATAGAGAACACAGCAATCGTTGGCGGGAGAAGTCCAGATGGAGAGGGAGGAGTCAAATAACGTTTGTATGTAAATTTCCATAATAATTAAGAAAATAATATATGTACAAAACCACTATACATATAGAGTACCTTATGTCACCCTTGACTCTAGCTGCTAAAACTTTCAGAAAACTTTATATATATAGTCCTTTTTTAGATAACATGTAATGCAAAGTATTTCCTGAACATTACAGGCTTTTTCAAATAGAGAACACAGCAATCGTTGGCGGGAGAAGTCCAGATGGAGAGGGAGGAGTCAAATAACGTTTGTATGTAAATTTCCATAATAATTAAGAAGCAAAATTTTGCAGAACTTCCAATAAGTGCATATAAAGTTCTGTTTTTACGCTCTTACACCATGGTCAGGCCGCCTTAAAATCTCTGTGCTGTAGTGGCTTGTGGAAAACACAGGATTGTGAATTGATACTCAAAACTCAATCCAGATAGTCCAGATACATCTCTATTCAGCGTAGGGTTGAGGGGACAGCATAGAAATAGCCAATGTGTTTTTGGGGCTCACACCAATATCCCCCTCATTGGGGATTGTGAGAATTCATAGAACTTATTTGGCAGCCAAATCAGCTGCTGAGGAGCTCTATGCATTCTCATACACTGGGCAAACCCTGATGAAGGGGGTATTTTTTTTTGTACTGTGCCTTCAACCCTACATTGAAAAAAGATGTATCTGGACTATGTGGCTCTTCAATTCACAAGTCTGCAATTTGACACTACAAACCAAGGAGAGAGTGCAGAACCTCTGGAACGTCTGTCCGGTATTCACATCACCTAT